CATGTCATCTTATTGTATTATCTGGCAATCCCAGCAAGCAGATATGAATCTCATTCCACAGATGAGGACACCAGAGCCCAGAGAGGTTGAAATCACTTGCCTAAGGTAATAGACGAGATTCAGATCGAGGTTTTCTGCCTCCAAAGTTAATGCTTCTTTCATTCACTATCCCATGCTCTAGCATTTCCAAAATGTCTACCTTAACGTTTCTTCGTATTTCCTCTCTGGAAGAGTTAAATATCTGCAAATATGTGGGCAATGGAGCTCTTTTTCACCAGAAAAGACAGGAAGAGGAGCTGTCTTGCAGTTGGAGACAACCACCTTCCAAACTGCGGCGGTTCGCAGGCAAGGACTGATCCCCTTCTGTCCCCTTGTAGCTTAATTGCAATGCTTTTCCATTTTATTAGTTTCCAGATTCTGTGCCAAATGTTTTAAAAGGCAGGTAGGGGAGAATTCTCCTCTGCTTGCCTGGCAGTTTGCCATCACCCCTAGAATCTGTTGCTTGCTGTTTCAGAAAGGAATCAACATTGAAGGCATTTTTCTCAGCAGTGAAATTTACATATCAGAACCTTGCTGACTGAGGCAGAAATGAGGGCTCCAGGGGCGGGAGCCTGGGGGCGGGGACAGGGCCTTTGTAGGGGAGGACGAGGGAAGAGCTTATTTTATTACCCAGGAATAAAAACATTGTGAGTAATGAATAAAGTCCGAAAGCAGTAAATCTGGGCTCCAGAGTTAGGTGTGTAACGTGTTGGAGAACAATTTAAGCCCTCGTCTCTTCTGTAGAGGTGAGGTATTCAGGCTGCCTTTCACAGCCCAAATTTCATTAAATGGCCTTTTAAGGGTTAGGATTACAAGAAGCCAAGTCCGGCTGGTTCATAATGATGATTTATGGCTGTGTTGTCGACTCCCCGACCCTTCTGTACAAGGGGATAGAGAAAATACATAATTTGTTGCTCATTAACTCCCAAGTCTGTCAGGGCTGCCCCAGAAGCCATGTGGTCCTGGAGTCATGTGTCTGCTAAATGGCTTCAGCCTGGGCCTTCCCTTGAAATTCTGCCATTGTTATTCTGCCGCGGAGGAAATCGGTTTTAATAACAATAGAAATGATAGCATTATCTCAGTGTAACTGCTGTGGGTTTTTGAACTTGAGAGTCAGAATATCTTGATTCTACTCGTGTGTGTGTGTGTGTGTGTGTGTGTGTGTGTGTGTGTGTGTGTGTGTGTGTTTTGTCAGGGCAACCCAGGGCAGCTGGAGTGCAGTGCTGCGATCACGGCTACTACAGCCTCGACCCGCTGGGCTCAGGCAATCCTTCTGCCTCAGCCTGTAGCTGGAACTACGAGCACGGGCCACCATGCAAGACTAATATTTTGACTTTTGTAGAAATGAGAGCTCGCCAAATTGCCCAGGCCGGTCTCGAACCTCTGGGCTCTGGCAGTCCTCTCACCTCTGCCTACCAGCATGCTGGGATTATAGGTGTGAGCCACCATGCCCTGCTTGGTTCTACTCTTAACTCTGTCATTAGCCTTATCCTTCAGATAAGCCACTATCTCCCATAACCTTAGTATCTCCATCTGTAGAATGGAATATCTTCTTCACAGAAAATATTGCATGAAACTACAGTGCAAAAGAAATGTAAGCAATGGTTGCTATTTATATTAAATGGCATAAACTAGTGATCATATTAGTAGTAGCTATTATTAATATTATGCTAAAGAATTTGTTGTCTTCCCATGACAGGAAGAAGCATTTTAATTTGCAATTTGCTATCTTAAGACTGTAGCACTGAAAATGGACGTTTTAGAAGGATAGGATGTTAGAGCTGAAAAGAGTTCTTGATTTGTAATCATACCCCTTCTCCCTAAAGTGACCGAAGCAGAGAGGTGACTCATCTGAGATTAATCAGTAAATTCATGCAAGAGATGCTAATTTGCAGTGGAAACCAACATGGTCTTCCTCAGCATCAAACAGGAAATCCCACTGCTTGATGCTCAAGCCAAGCCTCCTTAGAGACAGTTTCTTCATCCGCGGCAGTGGCTTGGTTGAGAGAACTCGGGAGCACTCATTCCAAGGGCAGGGAGCTTGCCTGGGGCTTTGGTTCTACTCTTGGCCTGTGGTGTCATCTCCAGGAAGTAACTTTCCTCTGCTATGGCTTGTTACCTTTGTTTTTTTGTTGGCAGGCTAGTGGTGGAGGTAACCCAGGAGAGTGAGAATAAATGTCATTGCAATTATGAAGTCATGAATCACAGAATCTTGCACCCTCGTTTTGCAAATGGAGAGACCCGACTTATCTCAGATTCACTCAGGGAATAGAGATTTGAACCCTGGCCACTTGACTCCTAGTTCTGTGTTCATCCCCATGCCTATGAGTGTGATTTATTAATAAAGAATAATAAGAAAGAGTAAGAGAACACGATTGTGGTAATCAACATCTGGAACTTGTTTGCCTGTAAGGTTATATAGGGTAAGAGTATAAACAGGTTCAAAAGGGGAATTAGATCATGAAGGGCAGGAAAGAATGCTGGGCCGGGAGTCATTGCACCTGGGACTAATCTTTAGCTGGGAGTTAATTTGGACCTGAGTTTCTTCCATACATAATGGCCCCTTTCATTAATGACTTGCCATGCTTTTCAGCGTTTAATCTCTGCAATGTGTTATCAAGGGGCTCTTGGTAATGTTTAGGGGATATTTCCAATTTTGTAATAAGGCCACTCTAAGGACTACTGTCCTTCTCCCTTTCATTCATTTGTTCTTTCAAACCATAGTCTCTGAGCACCTATGCAGGGTCACACATTACTTCTATTCCCTCAGGGAACGGCTAAGCCAGGATGCAGGCTAGACTGGCCTTTGACAATGTTCTTCTAATATAGAATCCCACTCAGGATGATATGGGAAGTGTGGCACTTGCAAATATAATGCATCCATAAACACAGAGTCACTGTGTGAACATTGGCAAGTGGCAGTAGCTGTTCTCACCACTGCTCCTGTTGGTCCCTGGACCCAGCTGGTGTTTCCTTCCCACATGGCCGTCCTTCCCTAGACTTTGGAGCCCTTGCGGACTTTGATCAGACCCCTGATCAGAACTTCCACTGTAAAAGACTAACGGGGGCCTTTGCAAAGGAGTGTCCAGATACGCCAGTCTATTGCTTCCTTTGTGGTTGTGAGCGTGCTCTCCGCTCTCTGAAAGGGCAAGTGTGGCTCATCATTCCGCCCTGGGAGGAAGTGTGAAAGGGACTTTTGTGGTGAGTGATGAGTTGACCGTTGCTGTCCCTGGGCTGTGGTTGCAACCAGGAAGTGGCTAGGGCTGGACTGTGAAGTTAAGACAAGGGCAGCAGGCTGCATGGTTGTACATCACCAAAGCCAAATTAGTCCCCTGCCGCAGAGACATCTACCTGACACAGCATCAGCCGTCCCCATTCTTCATGTAAAACCAAGCAGTTTCGGGCACAGTACTTCCCCTCTGAACCTTGGTTATCTATCTCATGGTGGTTGTGAGGATTTCATGAAATAAAAAATATAAAAGCAATGCCTGGTATACAACAGGTAATCAGTAGTTAGTGGCTTTTCTTTTTTAAAGTAGGGATAAATCTCCTCTAAGCATCAAATGGTAGACACAGAGGATGGAAATCCAGACTCCATCGGTGTCCTTTAAGATCTAAGAAGACAATACAGGTTGACTTGAGGAAATTCACAAACATTGAAGGGCATTGTGTTAAAAGTTTCTCTCGGTTTTTAGACTGGCATTCTATTCATCATATGCACTTCTAAAAAGTAAAATAAAAGCCTCACTTTCTATGACCCGGGTCATTTCTATTCATGTTATCACATTTAAACCAACATTTCTGCAAAGGTGGGTAGCCTCCTTTTCTAGAGAAGGAAACTGAAGCTTGGAGAGGTTAGGTTATCACTGAAGAATACTAGTGAAGGGGTGAGACACCATTTTTTGAATAATCTTGGCTAAAGTGCAGCCATTTCAACATAGCTTTTAGTTTTGTTATGCTTCCTTAAGTAAATCACCTAGCCAACCCTCTAATCATTAGCCAAGGGCAGAACCGGTTTCCCAGAAGTAGCTATTGATAATTGTTTTACAACCCCCCCCAGCCTGTTTTGTACTGATTCATTAGCATTTTTTATTCCTAGTATATGTCTTGTAGCCATAAGGCTGAGTTGACCTAATCTATTGTGATCAGCCTTCCATGACAGCCCACCAGCCTACCACCTGCTGGAGTCACAAGATGTGTTGTCTTGACAACATTGAGACACAAGACATGTTACCAGCACTCAAGAATGCAGTTGCTGGAGATTTTTACTAGCTTTGTTTCCTTATGGAGACTTGAAATATGCTCTTTCCCCACGTACAACGTTGGTCCCATTATCTCTTGAACGTGAATAAACTCTTTTGCTTTGCCTTTGCAATTCTCTGCATCTTTCCTGCAACACTGGATCACTGTCTTATCAGCTAGACAGGTGACAGAGTCTGGATTCTCCAGGACTTGGCGGTGGTGTATTCAAGTCTTTATAAGAAACCACCACCCCCACCGCCACCATGACAAATGTTGGCACAATGGCTGAGACCCTTAGTAGAGTCGGATCATTGTTGGTGATCCTTTACCCCAAATCTTAGGACCCCAAGATTTGCTCAGACCCCCTAACATCTCGGCCACCCTTAACCTTATCCTTGATTCTTCATCTAATATTTTTTTCCTATAGCTAAGTCCTTATTTGTCTCTCAATATGTCTCATATGTATATTTGTTTGTATGTATTTGTTACAAGGGTGTTATGTAGCCATGTAGGACTTTCTTTTAAAAAGCTTTAGCACTGTGATCTTTTTGCCTATGCATATTTGTGTCTGTATATTTCTTAATAGAAAATAGGCATTTTATAGATGATAACCTGAAGTTAAATACTGAATATTCTCCTATATCATTAAATATCCTTTACAATCCGTTTTGATCGGTGGGTCTTGATACTGCCTAATTCTCTTATTGGATTCCTTTTAGATCATCACAGGGGAATTCTACCGGATCTACTACCTGAAGGAGAAGTCTCGGTCGACGATCCAGAACCCCTATGTGGCAGCTCTCTATAAGCAAGTGGGTTGCTTTCTCTTCGGCTGCGCCATCAGCCAGTCTTTCACGGACATTGCCAAAGTGTCCATAGGGCGCCTCCGTCCTCACTTCCTGAGTGTCTGCAACCCTGATTTCAGCCAGATCAACTGCTCCGAGGGCTACATTCAGAAATACGAATGCAGAGGCGATGACATCAAAGTCCAGGAAGCCAGGTGAGACACCACCTTCCCACAACCCAGGCATGCACCCCTTCGATGCAACACAGTTCAGTGAGCGCTTGCAAACTGGAGACTCGTTTAGATGGGCAAATGAGGCATAGTCCCTATTCTCGAGGAATTGACAGTAGATGACTGAGACAGAAATGTAAATAAATATTTATGATATGACATGTATAAGTTCACTCATTCATTCATTCTTTTGTTTACTCATGAATTGGTGAGTGCCTGCTATGTTCCAGGCATGTATCCAGAGTACTACCAAGGATGCAGAAAGGAACAAGACATAGGGTCTGCTCTCAGTGTTACAGTCTAGGGAGGGAAGACAGGCAAGTTGTGTGTCAGGGATATGAAAATGGCCCTTTCATGGCCCTCTCTTGCTCTTGCAGGAAGTCCTTCTTCTCTGGCCATGCCTCCTTCTCCATGTACACTATGCTGTATTTGGTGGTAAGTACCTTTGCTATGACTCGAACAGTGTTCAGCCCTGGCTTGAATCCCTTCTGATATTATAGCCCTCAAAATACTGAGGGGCAGACTTCACAGTGAAATCCTTAAAAGACAGGTTAGCTAGAATGGTTAGCTTTCATTCTGAATCTGCCAGTGCCTTAGCAGAAACTGGTTTACTGTCCAGGATTTTTCCATTCTCAAATAAAAATAGCATTTGCAGCTGGGTGTGGTGGCTCACGCCTGTAATCCCAGTACTTTGTGAGGCCAAGGCTAGAGGATTGCTTGCCCTCAGAAATTTGAGACCAACCTAGGCAACATAGTGAGAACTCACCTCTATAAAATATTTTTTTAAATGAGCTGGGTGTGGTGGCGTGTACATGTGGTCCCAGCCACTCAGGAGGCTGAGATGGAAAGATCACCTGAGCCTAGGAAGTTGAGTCTGTCGTGAGCTGTGATCATGCCACTGCAGTCCACCCTGGGGGACAGAGTGAGACCCTCAACTCCAAAAAATAAAAAAATAATACAAATAATTAAAAAATGATAAGGATTGTGGACCCATTTTGAAATTATAAAGTGATAAAGACACTTGGATAAAATTGTACGTTGCAAACACTGATTTTTGAAAATCTATCATGAGAAAAGAGAGACTCATTTGTGAGAAAAGTAAGGCTCAGAGAATTCAAGTGAACTGCCAACACTTACATAAACACCAGAACTTTCGCTCAAATCCAAGCCTTCTGGTCAAGTTTTTTGCAATGTTCACCTGTCAGTTCTCTTTCATATTCTAATGATGGTTTTAAGGCTCATCATTGTCTGACTACCAAGAGTGATCTTGGAAGGGAAAAGGCGTCCCCGCCTTTCCTCTCCCCTTGAATGAGGTCCATGTGCCAAGGCACTTCCTGCTTTTGACTACTTTAATGGAGTTCAGAGCAGAAAGGTGCTGAGAGTTCAGATGTAGCTCACAGGAGCGTAAGCTGTTGGGAAAAGGAGCATTTTGATTTCAACTTACTTAAAATACTTTTCAAAAGTTTTCAAAATATTTCTGCATCCATAAGGACACTTAACTTCATAACAACACTGTGAAGTTTGAGATCTGTGTCCTCATTGATCAGGTCTGGAGACCAAGGTGCAGCACCTGCCAACGTTAAGCAGCATGCTTGAGGGACCATGATCTGTTTCACCTGTTGCTTTTCTCATGGCCGTGTCTGCTCTGATTTCCTGGAGATGCCTGGGCAGTGCAGGTGAAGTGCCTGCTCCCTGCCAGCTGGCGGACAAACAGCAGGCTGATGTGTGTTTGTCCGTTGAACTTGGGCTCCCTTGCCTTTCCTCTCCCCTTGAATGAGGTTCACGTGCCAAGGCACTTCGTGCTTTTGGCTGCTTTGATGGAGCTCGGAGAAAAAAGGTGCGAGAGGTCAGACGTAGCTCAGAGAAGTTTAGGCTGTTTGGAAAAGAAGTGTTTTGATTTCGACTTATTTTAAAAAACGCAGTTAGGTATTGGGAAAAAAAAACAACAGAGGGGTTGTTTTGTTTTGTTTTTTCCCCAATCCTTTCCAAGTTTGGAGGCCCCTGGTCTTCTCAACTGATGACTGCATGAAACATGGATTTTATTTATTCGTGAATAGCACTCCCCACCTTTCTTCATTTTTTGGATTTTGTTTTGCTCTTAGAAAGGAAAATTTAGCAACAATATTTAGGTTCCTGCTCCATGTGTATATTTTACCCAGGGCTGGAAGCAATTTTAAAAATGTAATTTCAGTGTTTTATCAAAGTGCTTAGAGGGGCTGGGTGTGTGTTTATTTTTTGTGTCTCTTCATTTTATTTCACGAGAAGAGCTGGATTATTTTGAAGCCAGCACTGGGCACTCACTGCACTCTTCAAAGCTGCCCAGAGGGTGAATGAAGATGCTGACCTGCTTTGGTGCCTTCTGTGTGCCCAACACTGTATCACGCTATGACGTTTGCCTCTTTCTCAGTAACCTGAAGAGATTGTTCTGGTTATTCTATTATCTAATTCAAACAAACCTGAATCTAAGAAATTGAATAACAAAAGTTCTACAATCAGGAAGAGACAGAAAAGGTGTTTGAAGGCCAATGTTTATGACACCAGCATCCTCGTATGTTCTTTTCATTGTACTGCACTACAAAAAACAATAACAAACAAAAAACAGACCTCTTCGAGATAAACTTTAAGAATATAACCTCTTGACACTAATTTCAGTTGTACGTGAAGGAGACCTGCCTGTGTCCTGCTTTCATGGTTGTGATGTCCTCTCTTCCCCAAATCCATCACCTCCTTACCAGCTAGAGATCTCTGTGGGGATGATTGTGAGGAATATATTCTCGGTTTTTTTGAGTTTTTTTTTTTTAATTGGAGTCTCACTCTGTCACCCAGACTGGAGTGCAGTGACACGCTCCCCCGACCACCGCAGCCTTGCCCTGCTGGGCTCCGGCAACCCTTCCGCCTCAGCCTTCCAAGTAGCCAGAAATACAGGCGTGTGCTACCACACCCGGCTAATTTTTGATTTATTGTAGAGACGAGGTCTTGCCAAGTTGCCTGGGTGGGTCTCGAACCTGCGGGCTCAGGCAATCCACTCGCCTCAGCCTCCCAAAGGCACGGGATTACAGGCTGAGCCACCGAGCCCGGCTGAGGAATATATTCTTATTGAAGGTGTATTTGCATCTGTCTGAGGGAGGAGAAATATGTTGTGCCCTCAAATTTCTGAAGAAAAAAAGAGAAGAATGAAGGAAGGAAGGAAAAGAAGGAAGGAGAGAGGAAAGGAAGAGAGGGTGAAAGAGAAGTGCCTCCTTAACCCTTCATCTCCTAAGCATCATATTACATGCCCCACCTCCAAGCCCGTCCTGTACACACACACACACTCTCTTGACGTTCACAACTCGCAGACATCCACATATGCAACATATATATTAGCTCTAAGGTTTTATCTTGCCCTAAAATAGCCTCTGAAGATCAAGGTCAAAAATTGAGGACAGTATTCTTTGCCAGGGCTGTGTTTATGTGATATTCTAGAGAAATCCCAGCCCTTCTAATGTCCAATTTGTAAAACTTTCTAAAGGAAGTTGGAAGGACATCATTGCAACCTGCCAGAGAAAGTGGAAAATCCTGCAGTCAGTCTGAGAAACGCTTTGACCCTCCCCAATGCTTTTATGTGGGTCCTCTGGAAATGCTGGAGATGGGGAAGTAGACTCTGGCCTCCCTCAGTGCACCCTGCACTTTTGTTCACAAAGTCTGTGATTCACAACTTCTCTGGAGCATTGGGGAACGTCTCATTTAGACCAGCTGGATGTAGCATTGATAGCTTTTGCGTTTAGAATCAGACATGTGTGGAATCAAAATCTGGTCATGCTTAAGATTCGCTGTGGAACTATAAGTGGTTTACTTAGCTTTAGAGCCTCAGTGTTCTCTTCTGTAAAGTGGAGATGATCGTGTCTATTTTGCAGTTGTTGCCAGTTCTACACTCTGGGCCCGACCGTCCCCATCTGTCAAATGGAAGAGGGAGATTAGACGGTGTCTATTTATTTATCAATCTTTATGCTCTGTGGCTCTATTTGAAAGAAGTTGAAACTGCCCTCAGAGCTGAGAAGGAAGATGGGAAGCCATCAGGGACAAACTAATACCTATATTATTATCAAGTTCTAAGAGAATGGCAGATCAGAAGCAGCAACCACGTCTAGAGCCTCCATGGCTTTGAAGGGCACTCCATATTAGGTTTGATTTGCAAAATGGTTAGCTTGGAAAAAACCATGCCCCAAACACCAAATTATCTCTGGGTATGGAAGCTTAGGGATGAGGTTACGGTTTGGTAGAGATGAATGCTAATTCTATTAAGAAAACAAAATGCCCCACACATATATAAGCATAAAACTATGCTTTCTACCTCGGAACCTTGGCTTAAACCTCAGAGGCCCACATCTGGATTGGCCCTGCACTTTTCATGATCTGGGGGGACAGAGGAGGATGTGACTGTGTGAATAAAGTGTCAACACCAGGACAGACACCAATTCGTGCAGCACATCTGGTGTCTCTTCTGTTGGGCCAGGCACTCTGTTCCCTTCTGGGAATACTGAGATGAATCAGACCTGAGCCTTACCCTCAAGGAACTCACCTGTGCATTCAGCAAATATTTAGTGAGTGACTATTAGATACCCAGCGCCATGATAGGGCTGGGAATATGGAAATTAGTAAGACATGGTCACAGCCTTTGGGGAATTCAGTCTAGAGGAGCAGTAGACTGATAACAGTCTGGTATGTTGTGCAGCAGGGGCAAGGAGATGTGTAGGTTATCAGGGACACTCAGTGTTGTGGCCCCAAGCTAACCTGGAGCCAGAAAAGGTTTCAAGTAGCGTTAGTCATGTGAGAATGGGGAAGACTGGATGAACTACCTGTGTGCAGGAAGAGGAGGACCGTGATTTGGAGAACTGCAGGTATTCAGTTCAGTACAGCTGGGAGTGCAGGGAGGAATTAGAGAGTGGAGAAGACCTTGGGGATCATCAGTCCAACTCCTTATTCAGCACCTCGGATTAGGCAGCCTCTTTGTGTCAAGGCCTTTCCTCAGCTGCTGTCCTATCCCCCCAGGGAGTCTATACCTTGTTCCTCACCTTGTTCAGGTCACTTTTCCAAGAAGCCTTCCCTGACTAGCCTGTTTAAAATGACAACCCTCTCCTCCAAAACGATACTCCTTATTCTTTATTCCCCTTTGCATCCTTACTCTGACTCCCGCCCCCGCCCAATTTCTCACCATCTGACAGACTCTATATTCACTTACTTGTTTGTCCCCCTCAACTAAATTGTAAATTCTATGGGGGGGAGATGTTTTTATCTTTTGATTCGCTATTGCATGCCACTCCCCAAAACAATGCCTGACAGTAAGAGTACAATGATATATGATGAATGAATGAATAAATGAATGAATGAATCAATTCCATGTCTTCTGACACTCCCAGGCCATACTCCTTTCCATTTCAGTCATGTTTCTTTGGTCT